AGTCGACATAGAATTCCATACTTCTTGGCAATTTTCTTGATGACATTGTCAATGTGAGAGTTGAACTTAAGTGTGTCATCAATAATCACGCCAAGATATTTAATCTCCCGAACGCGATCAATAGTCTCATCATCAATTACAACAGAGACGTTCTCATTTACTCGATTTCGCGAAATTACCATAAATTTAGTTTTACTTGTATTCAATTTTAACTGCTTATACTTCAACCATCTACTTAGAGAACGCAAATCTTCATTCAAGTGTAAAACGGCATCATCTAAATCCTTAGCTGCAATGAATAACACAGTATCATCTGCAAAAAGATTAATGTCGCAAAATCGTAAAACACGTCGCAAGTCATTAATATACATAATAAATAACAGGGGCCCTAATACACTTCCCTGGGGCACTCCAAGGTTATTCCCCACGGGACTGGAAACAGAATCATTAAAAACAGTCCGTTGAGTTCTGTCAGACAAATAGCTTTCAAACCATTTATATGCAGTACTCGTAATTCCAAAGCGCTTGATTGATCTTAACAATAAGGGCCTAGAAATTGTTTCAAAAGCGCGTTTAAGATCCAAAAAAACAGCAACAATCGTATCTTTACACTCCAAGTTATTTTTCCACTTCGCTAATACCAAATTCAACGCGGTTTCACAAGAATGACCTTCCCGATATCCCGATTGTTCTGGTATCAACAAACTATTACTATTTAAATACTCCAACAGCTGGCCTTTAACAACAAGTTCTAAAATTTTCTCTAATGTGTGCAACATGTTGATGGGACGAAACTCTTCGGCTTTAATCGTTCCAGCAACTTTTTGAATAGGGACCACTAAGGATTCCTTCCAAATTTGTGGCACATGTCCAGTTTGTAATGATTCATTAATAAGGTCCAGCAAGATGTGGCCAATGACATGAAAGCAATCTTGAATAACTCTAGCATTAACATTATCTACTCCAGCCGATTTTCCTAATGAAAAACAAATAACTCTAAGTTCATCTAATGTGATTGGGTGAAAAACTTCAAATCTACAACTACTATTAACTGGCTGTTTTATTTCGTCAGGTTCATCGACCAATTCAATAGATTGATTAATCAATGAAACGCTATCTACGAAATAATCATTAAACTTAGCTGCAATTACTTGTTCTGACTGTTCTAATGTGCCATTAAAAGTTATGGACCGCGGTTTGCAATTACTAGGTTTTAATAAAGATTTCAAAATTTTCCATAACTCTTTGCTGTTGTTTTGATGCTGATCAATCTTCCTTTGAACATATTCACAACGAGTTTTCTTTATCGATTGTGAATACTTATTACGCGCGATTGTGTACCTAGCCCAATGATTGTCATTATTAGATCTACAAAACTTTTTGTACAATTTGTCCCTTTTCCGTTTAAGACGCAAAAGATCCAAATTGTACCAGCTGTTCGAGTTTTTCAAAGAAACAAACTTTTGCTCAACTAGTTGATTGGTACACGTTTTCAAAGCGTTATTAAGAACAGCTGTAGATTCATCTAAGTTACCGTCCGCGAATGGAAAATCCAGGCTTCTCTCAACAAGGTTTGAAACAGCTTGCTTCGAATATTTCCTCCAGCACTTCAATTTTACAAAATTATCGTTATCGTTAACATGGTCTAAGACATTAATGACTAAAGTCTCATGATCGGTTATTTTCAAATCAGTATCCGTAACTGAACAAATGGAATTAAAATTGGAATAAACGTGGTCAATTAAAGTTCTACTGTGCCTGGAAATACGCGTATACTCATTTACCGTTTGCTTTAAATTAAAAAACTCAGCTAAACGCTTCAAATGATTCGAATTATGGTTATCACGCCAATTAATATTAAAATCACCAGCCAATATATTTAATTTACTAGAATCAAGGAATGTCTCAAACCAGTTCTCTAAAACTTCAACAAAACGCTGGTCACTAGAACTGGGAGAATGATACAAAACACCATAATTACCCATCTTCATGCCACGTACAACTGTAATGCCCAAGAACCAGTTGCCATCAATAACTTCGTTGGTACGAAGGTTGAATTGAACTGATTCTTTGACATAAATAGCAACACCGCCAGTGTGTCTAGAATGTGATAAACAAGCAGCAACAATATATCCCGGAATACTATACTGATCAAAAGCTTCAGTTTCTACAATATGAGTTTCAGATAATAAAACTAAAAGAGGACGTTTTTCCTCAACAATCTGACGTAATGCTACGTAGTTTGTTGACAACCCCGCAATATTCAAGTATAAAAAATCGAATTGATTCACATTCCTGGAACTTGGCTGCTATTTATTGAAACGCAAGCTGCTTTTCTTCTGATCAAAAAGTCTTTTATAAAGCAAACATTCCGAGCTAAATGCGGCATGGTTGACGTCCAAGTTCATTTTTCGTTCTTTATTCGTTTTCAAACAATTAATACATTTCAATACAGTTGACGTACACTCCGACGTTTTGTGTTGTTGGCTGCACCTAGAGCATCTATCACAATTTTTGCAATCCATGCTCTTGTGCCCAAATTCTCCACATTTGAAGCATCTCAACACATTAATCGCAGGAACTATCGAGCACCGATCAAACCCTACATTTACTTTTTTCGCACATAACAAACATTTATAAGTATCGACATCGACTTCAATTACAACACTAAACTTGTTGTAAGTGAAGCGTGGATTTTCAAACATGTTCACTACTTTAACATCATTTATAGCGATGTCTTCATTTTGACTTTTTAAGTAGTCAATGAAGACATCGGAGGAAAACTGATCGCTCATGCCCACTATTTTCAATCTTGGCACCGAAGTGGGAACAACAGCACTATATTGTTCACCCAGATTGCTTTCAATACCAGTTTTTACATCATTAAGATTAGCTCCTGTTGCACACTCAACAATAATAGAGCCATCTTTACCATTCCTAAAATTACTGATTTTGTGTGTTTTTGGATCCAACTGAGTTTTCAAAAACTTACGAGTATCTTCGCAAGCTTGTTTGGACTCTTTTGGTTTGATCACAATGACCGGACGAGTCTTACGATTACTCTGTTTGTTACTGTTACTGTTAATGTTACTGTTACTGTTAATGTTACTATTACTGTTACTAATATTTTTACTTTTACTTGCATGACTAGATCTTTTTACAACATCCGCAAAACTCGCATTTTCTTGAAAAACATCATCAGTCGAATCGTTGTCACTATTTTGAAATTTACGTTTTTTGCGTCTGGGATTTCGGTCCGATTCAGAATGAACCGTCCTAGATGCACTATTCGTTGCAGCTAAATTTTTTTCCGTACTAATTTCAAAACATGAACTAGTCATCGTATTCCATTTCTCACTAATTAATTTTTCAAAGCAACTTAAAGAATCGTTCATATTTTGTTGCATTTTTTCCATGCCAATTCTCAACGCGTTGTCTATCTGAGCAGCAACGTTGTTTCGTATACCAGTGATAGAGTCAGCAACAGAAGACAATTGCTTCATTGCTTCCCCCAGCATTTTGGTATCCGAAACCGATACATTCTGCTCGTCACAACTCTGATCTGACAGACAATTACTACACTTGAATAGAACATTTGCATTATCTGTGATAAGCTTTGCCTGAGTCCGCGTGAGTGTAGTGCACTTGCAATGAAATACACGAGCACACTTACCCACACAGATAACCGGCAAATCACTTACCAAAATCCCCAAATTACATATTGCACACTCAGCCATATATATCACCTATACACATAAACTGTACATGCAACACTACAGAGACACAAGTAAAAACGAACGAAAGCAAAAATTTACAATGCCGTAGCTTACTAAAAGGGTACCAATTAGCTTGCCGGGCGAAGGAAAATACAAAAAATGAACGAGAACCAGCGGCAACAGCTACCGTTCTCCTACTTATCCAATAAATTATCACTACGGGGCACGCGTAGGATCAATTCTACCGCGGCACAAGCACAATTTCACACTTAATTAATTAAATATTTATCACAGCACTGCGAAATAAACTATAACGTTCGCCATTACCAATACTACGTTCGAATGTCGAGGAAAGAATAAAAAAAACTTTTTGGTCTACAATATATTGAATTGGTTCCGCTTTTTGATAGAAAAAAAATTAATCCGCCAGACTATAAATAAATATAGCGACCATAGTCAGCTTGCGCTTGAATCAACACACTGAATGGGAAATTCATTTGCAGTCGGGTTATTCGCGAAAGAGAAAATCTATGAAAATCGAGCTGATTGATTATTTAACTTTATTGGTTCGTCAAATATTATTGCAATATAATAAGATTGTATATATTGCTGATTGCATCTGAAACTTGACTGTCCCAAAAATACAAAAAGTGTGATAGAAGTGCACATGTCCGTCAAATCGTTTTGATGTCTTGGGAGCACTTATTGCAATTTTATCACACTTTTTAATAAGTGAAAACGCGCTTATTAGTCCAATTCGGTGTGAAATGCGCAATAATAAGATTGTGCTTAAAGTGTGTAGAGCACAATAAAGCAAATTAAGTATAAAGTCATAAGGCTCCAGTTGTAAGCCAAGAAGAAGAAAGTGATGTATGTACACTTCGCACTTCGTAAATTTTATATCAGCTCCGCATAGATAAGCCACAATTGTAACTTAAAATTATTGTCATGGTAGGAAATAAACGAGAAGACATAAATCAATTGATTTGGACTCCAATTCAAACTAGCAATTGCTGTTGAGAAATTGAGAACAATAAAAATAAAAATATCTGTTAAGGCCTCGGTCTATCTATGGATAATATCAAAAACAAGGTTTTTACATTGGAATCAATGTTTACTCCCCAGCATTATTCCTGAAAGTAGTCTGACTGAGAATTTCAAAAGAGGCGTGACGTCATGAGTGTCGCTAGCATCCAATCTACGAAGTATATCATAACAATCAATGCTAACGCTAACGCTACATATAGGTAAATCCGGTAAATCGGAAAAAATGTTCATAGCTTTCAGGGCATCAAAATATACATTTTCAACTGTAAACAAAATAAATATAAAGTCATTTGGTAACAGAATTGCTGATATATTCTTATTTGAAGTAAGTGGTTTGAAAAAATAAAACCGGGTCCCACGATATTCCATCACTGCTTTGACCAAATCGTCTCATTTTTGGGGTGAAGACTCTTTAGACAGGTCTCGTGTGCATGACGAAAGCCGATTTTTGAGAAGTGGTTTAAAGAAAGATAAAAAATATTTTTACATCTTGTGAGTCTGCACTACAAAGTTCAGCCAATTTGGTCCATCCAGTTCTGAGATATCGTGGGACCCGTAAATCAACTCTGTGTTTCGAGAAAATCGCTTTGCGAGTTTTACAGTTCACTTTGCGCGTCAACGAACATCAGTTACGAATACGTGTCGATTTTTTGTAACCCCTTAATCAAAAGTTTCACAGCACCCGTATGGCCATTCCCTGCAGCAATGTGAAGTGGAGTTACACCGTCGATTTTTCGAGAGAATTTAACCATTTCCATATTTCCTTTAGGACTTGCAAGTTGAAGTGCATTTCATTTGCCTTTGTCCATCTCATTTGGTTCCGCATAGATTCGCTTTCAACAGTTCCACAACACTTTTATGGTCATTCAGTTCAGCGATGTAAAGTGGAGTTCGACCAGAGATTGTCTGAGAGTTGGTGTTCGAACCTCGATCAATCAAGAGTGTTACCGTTTCTATATTTCCGTTTCGGCATGCGTAATGGAGGGCAGTCCATTTCTTATTGTCCACCTTGTCTGGGTCCCCATTATTCGCTATCAACAGTTCAATAACCATCGCATGGCCGTTCTCCGCAGCAATGTGAAGTGGAGTTTCACCAGAGATTGTCTGAGAGCTGGTGTTCGAACCTTGATGAATCAAGAATTTGACCGTTTCTACATTTCCGTTTCGGCATGCATGATGGAGAGCAGTCCTTTTCATATTGTCCATCTCATTTGGGTCCGCACTATTCGCTATCAACTTTTCAACAACACTTGCATGGCCATTCAGTGCAGCGATGTGAAGTGGAGTTTCACCAAAGATTGTCTGAGAGCTGATATTCGAATATTGTTCAACCAAGAATTTTACCGTTTCTACACTTCCGTTATGGCATGCGTAATGGAGGGCAGTCCATTTCTTATCGTCCACCGTGTCTGGGTCCGCATTATTCGCAAGCAACACTTCAACAACACTTGTATGGACATTCAGTGCAGCGATGTGAAGTGGAGTTCGACCAATGATTGTCTGAGAGTTGGTGTTCGAACCTTTATCAATCAAGAATTTTACAATTTCTACATTTCCGTTTTGGCATGCGTAATGAAGGGCAGTCCATTTCTTATCGTCCACCTTGTCTGGGTCCGCATTATTCGCAAGCAACACTTCAACAACACTTGCATGGCCATTCAGTGCAGCGATGTGAAGTGGAGTTTCACCAGAGAATGTCTTAGAGTTGGTGTTCGAACCTTTATCAATCAAGAATTTTACCATTTCTACATTTCCGTTTTGGCATGCGTAATGAAGGGCAGTCCATTTCTTATCGTCCACCTTGTCTGGGTCCGCATTATTCGCAAGCAACACTTCAACAACACTTGCATGGCCATTCAGTGCAGCGATGTGAAGTGGAGTTTCACCAGAGAATGTCTGAGAGTTGGTGTTCGAACCTTGACGAATCAAGAATTTTACCGTTTCTACATTTCCGTTTCGGCATGCCTTATGGAGGGCAGTCCATTTCTTACGGTCCACCTTGTCTGGGTCCGCATTATTCGCTATCAACAGTTCCACAACACTTGCATGGTCATTCAGTGCAGCGATGTGAAGTGGAGTTCGACCAAGGATTGTCTGAGAGTTGGTGTTCGAACCTTTATCAATCAAGAATTTTACAATTTCTACATTTCCGTTTTGGCATGCGTAATGAAGGGCAGTCCATTGCTTATCGTCCACCTTTTCTGGGTCCGCATTATTCGCAAGCAACACTTCAACAACACTTGCATGGCCATTCAGTGCAGCGATGTGAAGTGGAGTTTGACCAAAGATTGTCTGAGAGTTGGTGTTCGAACCTTTATCAATCAAGAATTTTACCATTTCTACATTTCCGTTTTGGCATGCGTAATAAAGGGCAGTCCATTTCTTACGGTCCACCTTGTCTGGGTCCGCATTATTCGCTATCAACAGTTCAACAACCCTCGTATGGACATTCAGTGCAGCGATGTGAAGTGGAGTTTGACCAATGATTGTCTGAGAGTTGGTGTTCGAACCTTTATCAATCAAGAATTTTACAATTTCTACATTTCCGTTTTGGCATGCGTAATGAAGGGCAGTCCATTTCTTATCGTCCACCTTGTCTGGGTCCGCATTATTCGCAAGCAACACTTCAACAACACTTGCATGGCCATTCAGTGCAGCGATGTGAAGTGGAGTTTCACCAAAGATTGTCTGAAAGTTGGTGTTCTCAAGTTTTTTAATGAATAATTTTACCGTTTCTACATTTCCGTTTTGGCACGCCATATGTAGGGCAGTCCATTGCTTATCGTCCACCTTGTCTGGGTCCGCATTTTTCGCTATCAAAAGTTCAACAACATGTGCATGGCCATTCAGTGCAGCGATGTGAAGTGGAGTTTGACCAAAGATTGTCTGAGAGCTGATATTCGAATATTGTTCAACCAAGAATTTTACCGTTTCTACATTTCCGTTTTGGCATGCGTAATGGAGGGCAGTCCATTTATTATCGTCCATCTCATTTGGGTCCGCACTATTCGCTATCAAATTTTTAACAACACTTTCATGGTTATTCAGTACAGCGAGGTGAAGCGGAGTTTGACCAAAGATTGTCTTAGAATTGAGGTTCCCCCCTTTATCAATCAAGAGTTGAATTATTTCCATATTTTCTTTATAACTTGCAACATGAAGTGCAGTCCTGTTATATTCGTCCATATCATTTGGGTCCGCATTATTCTCAATCAACTGTTTCACAACGCTGAAGTGACCATTCTCAACGGCAGAATGCAGCGCAGTGGATTTATCGAGATTTGCATTGTAACCAATTAGTAATTCACATATTGCTAAATATCCGCATTTCGCAGAGACTTTTAACATATTGCTTAGTTGATCAGTGGAGAACGATTTAAGATTTAGGAATGAAACCAATTTCAGACAACCACTCTCGCATGCCCACAAAGCTACGTCCCAGTTTAGTCTGCACAACTCGTTTAAGGTCTCGGAGCAGTTTTCATTTTCTTCAAGCTTGATCAGTGTCAGTTTCCTAATAACTTCACGTTGAGATAGAACCTTGATCAATATGTTTGGTTCCAACTCGGAAATGTTATCACTTAGATATGTTGCTACGAAGTATTCACCAAATGATAAATGGCAGAACTGAACATCATTGTTGACTACTGTCACCAACATAGACTTTTCTGAACCCTTTTCATATCGGATTTTGAATAAGTCATATATTTTCTTATTTTTCGGCTTCGTGAATATATCCATGAGCATTTCAATCTCTAGCAGCTTTATCGCTAGCAGTTGATGCTCCAGAATGTACACGGCAATGAATGAATTGAATTCAGCATCGTTGATATCAACCTTTGTTTTAAATTTTTCTTCAAATTTGATGTGAAAACATTTATGGACAAACCGCTCTAACAGTTGCCCAATATTCAATATGTCTTCTGGCCAATCAAGCGGTTCCGTTTTGTCGGAATTCGCTGCTGACACAAACTGTTTGAATCTGTCAGAGTAAACTTCAGCAAGCATTCGCATCATCAGAGGCAAACCGAACATTTCACTCGAGTTGGATAAAGTGCCGGAATGATATTTTTCAAAAAGAAGTTCCGAAAAGTCTTCAACAACTTTCTCATCAACACTCTTTTTCATCCATATTTTCTTCAAGTACCGGATCTGGTCCTCATCTTGAAAAGGGACTAGGAGTATTAGCTTAAAATCGAACTTACTTTGCAGTATTTCCTGCACGTGGAGTCTCGAGCTGATTATAAACTGAATACTCTTTTTCAAACTGAGCAGTTCGAGTATACTAATTACTTTCTCGGTGTATTTGGAATGTATTTCATCAAATGCGTCCAATGCTAAAATAATGGAATATCCTTCGTCATTTCGGCTTTCCGGGGCATTTAGGATGAGATTACAGTTAGTCTCTGAAAGAACAGCGCTGAGAATTTCCCGGACATCATTTATGTTTGATACTTTTTCTATTTCGTCGAGTTTCTTACATAGCGTGCTTAAACGCATTAAGAATACTGCAGAGTGGTTTTTTTTTTGAGCTTCAAATGACAAAAACTGCAGTAAGCTGGTTTTTCCCATACCGGGGTCTGCCACAAGTAAAATATGTTGCTGACTTTTAAATTTTCCTCGAAGCTCTTCAACAAACTTAGTATCACTTATCGTTCGAACTATTGAGCTAGACCTATTATTATGTGCTACCTTGTCGTTGCCTGACATTTTTTGATCAATGCTTAACATTCCTCCGGTTTGTTCTAATGCTGCCTCTTCGTACTTTAAATGGCGATTAATATACGTAAGTTTCCATTCTTCCGCCTCTGCCATTTCGCGCTTTTTCCCACCCGTCTGCATTTCACGCTTTATTTGTTCAAAGCATTTTTCTATATCTAGTTTCATCAAACTGCGCAAACTTTTTTCGTCAACAGGTTTGTTACATTCGTCAAAATAATCCCCTAAAACGCGCTTACTTTTTTCGCCAACAGGTTTGTTACATGCGTCAAAATAAGCTCCCAGGTCGATATACACCTGCTCCCAGTACTTTTCCTTCAGCTGACCGAAAATTTCCGGCTGGATCCAAGTCTTCATCCAAGCCTTTAGTTCAGCAACGATGATAGGTCGCAAATCGTTCGGTTGACCCACCGATAGCGTAAAATCGCGAAAGAAGTTACGAATGTCATCCTCATCAACGCGTGGTGGCAAAAATTTGTTCCTTGATTCTTTCGTCTGAAATTTTTTGTTGACGGTTACTTCTTCCTCCATATCAACCTGATCGCTTTGCAACATCTTGTATAGCCTGACAACATCGGGATTTGGATTTTCAGCATTGAAGTTGCTTGCAAAACGACACTTGTTCTCGTTTATGATCATAACGTCTTTCAATGGAGTGCAATAGCGAGTAAAAGTTTGGCTGACCTTTCCACTGTGAAAGAACTCTTTGACCGCATCTTTAATCGCAGTGATATCGTCATCTTTGTTGATGTAATTGCACAGCTCTGTGATAGCCTTCTCGGTTGGCATAAGTTTTAGGTTTTTGGCACTGGATCCAGAAATACGTAGGATTTCATTTTCTTCTCGTTCTTCGATCTTCACCCAATCGTTATCGGTCAGTTTCAGAACCTTATTGGTGAAGATGTAAAACATCTTATTGTATGCCCTTTCTTTCAAGCTTCTAGTCACACAAAAGTAGGATTTGGCATACTTGTACAAATCAAAGTCTCCTTTGCCTTTGTCACTATTTCCAGTCGGAAACAGGGCATCCAGCTCGAAAAATTTAACCTGTTCATCCTTGGTATCGGCGTGTTTTGCTTGAATTAAGTGGATCTTCTCGTTTGTATCGTCAAACAAAACAACGTCGTCAAACTTGTCGGCCACCGTCATTTCATACGCCATCCTTGTAGTGGAACTTGATTCCCGCATAAGCAGCCACAGTGCGAGGGCAATTTCTTTTTGGTATTTTTCGCCGTGGCCACCCGGCGTAATTTCACTTGCATACAGTTGTTGCTCCATTTTGAACCACCTGAAAAAAAGGATTGATATTTCATTAACTCAATAAGCTATGAAGGTCATCCGCAAAAAAATTAAACTTTTAAAACAATAATAGATATTGTAAAAGAATTTGAATTAACATTGAACAGGAAGGTTAAATACTTTACGCCGACTACGAAGCCGCCGAAAAACGTGTAACGGCAAGTTTGCAATGACATTGTTTAGCTATTTCTTGATGAATTTCAAAAATAGTGGTGCCACTAGAATTTCTACACGGTAAGAAAAAAGTACCCAAAATTGAATTCCTTTCACTCAACACGTGGCTTCAGTGAGGCTAGGTAAAATTAAGTTAAAAAATTAAACTCTATATTCAAAGTGTTTTTTATGTTACTTCATACGCGAAGTTAACGATTTTCAGAGTTGGTTGGAAATGCTAACATGAAGCTTTAGTGTGATGATTTATTAGCTAGAGAATGATCTTTAGAAGAGGGTAGGTGGATAGTTCCGTTAGAGTACGGCAGTATGAAAATTGAATAGAAGTTGAAAATGAGCGAAGGGCCATTAAAGCGACAGTTTTTCAAGATGACGCACATTTTTGCCTGTGGACTTGGAGACATACTTCAAGTCCCCGCGTACATCGTACGGGCTAGGCAAAAATGTGCGTCATCTTGAAAAACTGTCGCTTTAATGGCCCTTCGCTCATTTTCAACTTCTATTCAATTTTCATACTGCCGTACTCTAACGGAACTATCCACCTACCCTCTTCTAAAGATCATTCTCTAGCTAATAAATCATCACACTAAAGCTTCATGTTAGCATTTCCAACCAACTCCATTAAACTCTATTTTGAAAAATACTTATCAAGAATTAATTGAGTGAATATTACCTAACGATCAATAGAATGGAATAGGTAAACTTTATCCAACGTTGGATTTTTTTTAAATAATTTTCGATTCTGTAGAATGAGAATCGCAGCAGAATAAATCCTCATCGTCCTTATACCAAGTTCGACTTCTTCGGAAGCTCATGGTCGATGCAAAGCTGCAGTAGATACAAATTAAGATTTTTGTAAACAATGGAACTAAAAACACTCCCTGCGCTTTGATCAGAGAGCGTATAGGGCATCGTTGTGCCTGGTTGGTCGTGACACATTTCGAGTATGAGAGGGTAATTGCAATTTGCTCAAAAGTGCATGAGTAGAATGCAAGTACTTTCGATGCTTGCCCGTAGTTGCGATAGTGAAGATATATACCCATTGTTCGCGACGCGAAGAATTTTATTCAGTTTCGTATACTGAACCAATGATCGCGAAGGATAGACGTTCACGGCGAACGGTGTTTAATGGTGTGTTCAAATCCGTCAGGATTGCTTGGACACATCTTTCAATTCTCAATCATATAAAAGTTCTTTTAAACTTATTGGATAGATGCTCTACCAAAGTGCGAGCTTATTCCTATATCTGAATAATTGGAAACATTAACAGACTGAAAGAAAGTATCTTAGCATAAAGATCAACCTTCAATTCAACTCAAAGGCTAAGACCTCACTTCGACAAATGAATTGAAACGATTCCTGATGAAAACACTTACGGCGTGTTTTTCTTGAATTAATCATCGAATACCAGCGGTTGATCACCATCCTAGTGCCAGCGTGAAACTTTAAACAGAGCTGTGCACGATGCTCCCCCGGCGAGACTTAAGGCAGGCCCAACAAGCCAACCTGAAAAAAAACATAAATTTGAAAATACCGAAGAAAGAAATACGGATCGAAACAATCGGCACAGACCTACGCGACAAAATAAGGACTACGATTGGAAACTTGGAACATAGAACTGCAAATCACTCGGCTTCCCAGGCTGCGGTAGGTTAATCTACACACTTAGAAATAACTAATTTTACACGTGACAGAATCTATCTTTAACATAAAAGATGAGACGTAAACAAACATGTCGTTTAATATTAAGTGATCCGAGACTGAAAAGTTCGTTGCTCGACGAAAAGTACGTTTGATTGAGCTATATTTCCGCATCTGTTATGACTTAAATTTATGTCAAAATTGACGCTCGTATATGTCACTCTCAGAGCACCTAAATTTACATGAATTTTTCTAAGTGTGTATGACGAACTTCAACCACGCAACTTCGAAGTCACAGGAACTTTGCTGGACGAGACAAAAGATATGGAAAAGCGGGTATCAAGCGGTTAATTTCTACCAGAACTGTGGCACCACCAACGAGCTGGGAACCGACTTTGTAGTGCTGGGTAAAATGCGCCAACGCATGATTGGAGGAAGTACAAGCTGAGGTTTAAGGTGATTCGCTGCAGGCCAAAGTGCCACGCCGTCCAAAGCGGTAAGTGCAGAGGCACGACAGCAGCACTTTTTTATATCTTTTTATGCTCAAGCAGAATGATGTGCAACCAAGTGGTATTTGTTTATGATGACTTGGTTTGGGGAAAACGTTTAGTTCATGAAAACAGTCATAAAATTATCATTTGCGCATTTTTCAAAAGTTTGTTTAATCCTTTAAATTTGTCGAACCTCTTAACGGAATCTGTTTATGAAGAGCTTTGAGTGGATTAGTTTATTTCCTTTAAATTCCGTTATAATTGCTTATCTTTTGACAGATACGCGTATTTCGTCTACTTGCAGAATTCATCAGTGCCAAGTACTCAACACCAGTGGTATCTGTCAAAAGATAAGCAATTATAACGGAATTTAAAGAAAATAAACCAACCCACTCAAAGCTCTTCATAAAAGTTTTTTTTATTAAAAACTGGAAAATCATTTATTTCACCAGATTTGTGAAGTAATATCATATCGATTGGCGTATTTGGATCTTAATTTCATCTATAAATGACAAAGTTACAAGCGTTCAAAACCTAACACTATTTCATCACACATTTTATTTGATTTGTACCCAAGTATAGTAGACAAAGACGTAGTTCTACGTAAAAAAAAAGGTTATGACTTCTTAAACAACTTCACCGAAGACAATAAAGGGTGTCCCACATCAAATTGCATCACGGAAAAAAACGCTGTTGAAAATTACCTATTGGGTACCTCCTCTTGAAAATTTGGGTAGAAGTAGTTTAGAGTGTATTGTTTACACTGTATTTTTATCGCTGTCAGTTTTTCGATAGTTGGAAAAAATGGCGTCACCCGAAAAGCTACGTCGCGTATTGATTTAGCACAAGCACCTGGAAAATCTACAACTCTCTCATCGGGACATCCAAGACACGTAGGATTACGTGCTCGGTATCAATATTCGGCGACTGTGTTAGATAAACCACTTTGTTTCTGGCAATCGGTGATAATTTTGATCACCATTGCAACAGTTGAGTATTGGTGTAATTTTCAATACTGACCTACTGAAAATTGATGAAGTGATGCAGATTCGTACAAAAAAATTCCAATCGATTGGCTTGCTTAGAATTAAAATCCATCCGCTATTGACAGAGTCATAAGTGGTCGAAACCTGACCAGTTTTCGTAACGTGGTCGATTTTGGTTTTTTTTTTAATGCACCCTCAATATGTTGCCGAAGAACGTAATCTTACGTCAAAAAGTAACTTCCATATCTATCACAGATTACAAATTTCAGTACGTAGCATAGAAAAAACTTTGACTTTGACTTTAATTGCTCTTAATTTCTTTTATATGTGTGGTTTTACATGTATGAAGTGAAACAAATGCGTTTTTTTTCAACTTTATTTATAACTTTTATTTAAAACTACAGCTAACCTACGACTACTTTATACACCAAACCTACTATATACAAATTGCTTATCAAAGCATGTTGTGATATATTAAATTTTTTTGCAAATTTAGTCTTTATCTCAAATCTATTTTGGGAATGCCTGCCTTTTCGTCTAAATTTGTTATTCTAGTGTCGAAAGGACGATCGAGGATCATCGTAAGCACTCTGTTTTGTGCCACCTGGACTTTGTTCCTGTGAGTTTTAGCACATGATTCCCACACCGGCGTAAGATAGAAATTTTCAGGTGCCATGATTTGATTGTAGACAGCCAGTTTGTCAACCCCAGAGAGGCGGGATCTGCGACAAATCACCTTACTAAGCTTGAACACCTAACTAACATCTTTTCTACATGTGAGCGAAACAGTAGCTTCTCATCGAATACCATTCCAAGGTATGTAACTTCGGTAGACCACTCAACCCTTCTGCCATCCATGATTACAGTACAAGGTGGAGCCGGTTTTAGCTTGGGCGATTGCCGATGGAGGAACATGATTGCTTGAGTTTTGTAGGTATTGATTTAAATTTTCTAGGTGTTTGCATAATCAACAAAGACGTTAAGGCACCTTTGAAGTTTGTTCGTTATTTCGCGAGACATCCTTCCTTTGGTGGCTATTGCGGTATCATTTGCGAACAGGAAAAACACGCAACCGTGTCCGAGGGGAGGAATGTCGGAAGTGTAGCTGCTGTAAAGCAAAGGGCCAAACAGACTTCCTTGTGGGACTCTGCTGGGATGGAAAACGTGTCTGAAAGACAACCATTCAACGATACCTTAAACGACCTTTGCTGGAGGAAGTTACGGATTATTTTAACCAGAAGTTACAAAGCATGTACACAAGTCCTTCATGCAAGACATTGTCAAACGCCTTTTCAACGTCTAGCAACTTGAACTTGCAAACACGAAACAAATGGTGCGTAAACGTGCCAATCAGTCAGCAGCAGGATAATCAAGCCCAGCGCGTTGCAGGATGACGCCGGAAAACGAGTACTAAATGGCAACCAGTATGCAGTACTCCCGAAAGAAAATGGCGCTGGTGACGCCGCTCCCATTGCTGGAAGAGAGCGGATTCCCCCGCTTTTCACGCCGGTGAAGGATGTTGCCAAGCTGGGTGCCAAACTGGCAAAACACATGCTGCTGCCTCGCTTCAAGCTTTGCAGCATCGGTACCAAAATCATGTGCTCCAGTCTGGAGGAGTACAAACAAATAGGATGTTTCCTGAAAGACAATAACGTGGACTTCTTCACGCATGATCTGCCATCGAGCAAGCCACTGAAGGAGGTTTTGCGTGGATTACTGTCGTTCGAGGCAGCTGCGGTGAAATCCGAGCTGGAGCGGCTTGGGCTCAAGCCTGAGGCGGTGTACTCGATGAAACACCAGCTTCCGTGACCAGTTGTTCCTGGTGCACTTCACGAAGGGATCCACCAGTCTTGCGGCTCTGAGATCCAAACTCCGGGACCTGTTTCAGCGTTACAAACCGTGATGTCACGCAGACCATGGCACCAAAAACTGCCACATGAATACAAACTACGGAAAGTGTGCTGGAACTCACTCAACTGCGTCCTGTGAGCAAGATGATGACATCGAGCAAACGTGTGTCAACTGCGGTGGAAACCACCAACCCTCCAAACACGGATGTCCCAAGCGAGTGGAGTTCATGAATATCCGTCGGAAGGCTACAATCAACAATCAGCCCGGTCGCCTCTGTAATCATCGTTCGCCTTCTGCACTCACGGAAGTCAAGTACCCAGGCCCCGTCGACATGTTCTGAAGCTAGCCCCGCTTCCGCTGCTGCCGCGGCCCAGCCAATTACAGGTTCCTCCACCACCTCTGGTCTGTCATACGCTGGTGCTGCCTCACGTGAGCCTGTCGACGATTTTCCGTTCACCTCGGAGGAACTTGTGACGCTCGTGGCTGAGTTTGTCCCTCGTCACTAAGTATGGACCGTGAAGCCATCAAGATCGTAAATTGGAATGCTTGCTCCTTGAAGAGCAAAAACATCGAGTTTGTTGACTTTCTCAACGAATGGAACATCGGGATAGCCGTCATCACCGAGACTCACTTGAAGCCCGAGCTGAACGTTGACCGCACCTGCTCCGGAGGAGGGGGAGTGGCCGTCGACCGCAGAGACATCATCAAGCTAACACGACTGCGGCAAAATTTCATCATCGCTGGCGACCTGAACGCCAAGCATCAAGCCTGGAGCAATAGTCGGCGAAACCATAATGGAACAATCTTGTACAACGATCTACAGGAAGCCCACTACAACATCCTGTGTCCGTACACTCCCACCTGGTTGAGTCGATCCGGAGCTCATGCCACCATCGACATCTTCATCAGCAACATAGACGATAACATCTCTCAACCTATCGCCTATTCAAAAACTGATCTCGGACCACTGTCCGGTGGTGGCCGAAGTAGGTTCCTCACCCAATAAGTTTCAAGTTTCCCGGCGAAATTACCACCGTGTCAACTGGCAGCAGTACCAGCGCTGTGTGGACACAGCAATTGACTACGACATCCTACCGGAGTGGTTCGAAGAAGACGATCGGTGTCTGCCAATCATCAAAGAGGCGATATCCCGTGCCAGGGAACAACGTACCAGCATCCAGACAGGTGAGTCATACTCTGAACCTTGAACCAACCAAAGATCTTATCAGGCTCCGTAACACCATTCGTGGGCAGTTCCAGCGTTCTGGGCTGCCCCACTTGAAGACCAATGTCAATAGCCCGAGTAGCACACTTTCATCACAATAAGTTACAGCAACTTGTTTATGTCTGAAATAAGTCGTATATAAGTTTCTACAATTGATTGGTGACAAGCGTGCTACTAGGGAGGCTAACCAAAATTTTCCAGGCCAGGATGTTGGAACTCAGAAATCACGATTTTGCCAACATGATTCGCTCTCTCTCTCTCAGATTGTGCAAAGCCATTGTGGAAGATGACCAAAATTTTGAAAAATAAGTCGATACCTATCCCTAGCGGCGCCGGTGGTGTAGTGGTAAGCGTGATTACCTCTCAACCCAGCAGGCCTGGATTCAATCCCAGTTGTCGCGGCCGGGATGTTCTGAGGCATATCATCTCTGATCACGCCTTCTCCTTCGGGAGGGAAGTAATGCCGTTGGTCCCCGGTTCATGAGTTGATTGGTCGATAGGTGTGGGAGCTGCCTCCCTGGCGTCAAGAAAAAAAAAAGACCGATACCTCAGCTTTCCTCTGTTGACCAGAACTCGGACCCATCCCTACTCATAACCCCAGTCGAAAAGACCAATACTCTTGGCCTACATTTTGTGATTTCACATAATCTTGGCCAAACCATGGTGAGCCCCATGACCCTGCCGTACTGGAGGCAATGTCTAGAGTCGCAGACAACCCCGGAGTAGTGCATGATGATAGTAGAATATCGGCTGATGAGGTGATAGCAGCTGTTAGAAGCACTAAAAAAAACATGAAGGCCGTGGGTATGGATGGTGTAGTCAACCTCGAGTTGAAAAACTTGAGTATTGACTTCTTCAACCATCTTACCGCCCCCAACGATGAATCGGAAGCTAGTACGAGTGATGGCGGTCAGGTCGTTCTTGAACTTGCTTGCTAATCCGTTGATGGTGGAACTCTACCGAGGGCAGTAAACAACGATGAACCGGACATTTCCAGTTGGCGATTCCACCTCCATACTAAGAGCTCCGATGATTAAAGTGTGGATGTGAGGCAGAGTGTAGAACTTAATTCCTTTCTTGACAACGACCGAAACACCTCCCCCCCTGGAGCTGGTGCGATCCAGCCGGATTATGTTATGGTTAGGCAACCAGAGGCTGTCGCAGTTCTTTTTTTTCTCCGTGTTGGGTATTTTGATCACTTTGTTATTTATTTCCATTTCGTCAAGCCAGTGTAGACTACATACAATGATAATTACAATGTTTACTTACATACTATGCATTAATTCTATTCTGTTTTAGCTTAGTTTTTATTTGCTGCTTGGACATAGTGATGTCAATAGTTCCGCAATGCAAATTATATAGGCGCATCATTCGATTGATTGGGCTATTTTTTGCATAGTTTGTTCTGTACGATGTTTCTGAAAATAAATTCCGTGTTCTAAGATATCGACAAGGTGTGTAAAAATTTAATTGTGCGAGAATTTCTGCCGAATCTATGCGCATTGAAATAATGTCGTTGATGAAGAAAAGCATTGCAAATTGGCGGCGCTCCTTAAGTGTTTGTATATTGATGAGCATGCAGCGCGCTTCATAAGATGGTAATGGAAATGCAGTCCAATTCAATTTACGTAAAGCATATAAAAGGAATTGTTTTTGGACAGATTCTATGCGTTCTTCGTGTATGGAAATGTATGGATTCCATACTAGGTGGCAGTATTCCAGAATTGGCCTTATATATGTGGTATATAAAAGCTTAATAGTGTATGGGTCTTCGAAATTATGACTGAACCTTTTGATGAAGCCTAGCATTCTGTTTGCTTTACTAATGATAGTATTATAATGTTCTATAAAAGTTAGTTTGGAGTCTAGGATTACACCTAGATCTCTTACAATTTTGCTTTTTTCTACTATTTGGTTGCCTAATGATAATTCAATATGCGGTGTTTCAATTTTTCTGCTAAATGCTATTGCAGTACATTTTTTTACGTTCAGTTGAAGTAGACTTTTACTACACCAGGTGTGGAATATATTGATTTCATTCTGGAATTCTTCTGCATCGCTAGAATTACTTATTTCCATAAAGAGCTTCATGTCGTCTGCATATACAAGCAATTTTATTTTTTTAAGTATGTAGGAAATGTCGTTTATGTACAAAATAAAAAGAAGTGGTCCTAAATGAGAACCCTGGGGTACCCCAGAGGTGACTGAAATTGGTTCTGAAAGTTTATTTTGAAAGCGAACTATTTGTTTACGATGTGTTAGGTATGATTGAAGCCAATTCAAAAGTCCAGGCTCCATTCCTATTTTCTGCAATTTGAGGATTAATAATGGTATGTCGATGCGGTCAAATGCTTTACTGAAGTCGGTGTATAGCGCTTCAACGTGCTTGCCACTGTCCAACGCTTTAATAATGAAAGATACATATTCTAGAAGATTAGAGGTAGTTGAGCGACCTTTAAAAAAGCCGTGCTGTTTACTTGTAATTAGATTTTTCACCTGCTGAAAAATATTGCCGTTTACGATTGATTCAAAAAGTTTTGGAATGCAAGAAATAATAGCAATTCCACGATAATTTCGAATGTCTGATTTTGCACCTGATTTGAAAATAGGTACCAAATAAGATGATTTCCAAATTTCAGGGAATTTTCCATTTTTCAGAGACATGTTGAAAAGACGCTCTAGAGGAAATGCGAGTTCTTCAGAAAGGTTTTTCAAAAATATGGGTGCGATGCCGTCAGGTCCAGACCCTTTCGACGCGTCTAAGTTTTTAAGTGCATTGAGGACTTCATGTTGAGAAAGTTGGTTGACAGAGATGTTTTTAGAAATTTCAGGAATGAATGCAAAGAAATCGCGGTCACGATCTTCTTCGGAAAATGTGGTGTATACTTCTTGGAAGAAATTTGCAAAGAGATTGCAAATTTCAGAAGAATTCTCACCTACATTTGCATCCAAATTCATTCGCGAAGGAAAATTGCTGCTTTTTAATTTCGTGTTTACATAATTAAAAAAGTTCTTAGGACATGATTTGACTTCATTTTCGACTTTGCGGTTATAGTCCTCATATGCAGAGTTGATGGCTGTACTTAATTGGTTGCATAAGTTGTGATAGTTTCGCAAATTGGTTTCAGTTTTTTCTTTTTTGTATAGTTTATGAGCTTTCTGTTTTTTATTCTTTAAATTTTTCAGTTGTGGATTGAACCATGCGGGTAGTTTATTGTTTTGTGTTCGTCTTCTTTTTTTTGATGGTACAGTTTCTAAAATTAGGCTTTGAAGAATTGAGTGAAATTTTTCTACTTCAGTATCGACATTTCCTTCAATACTTATTAAATTTTGCCAATTTATTGTACATAGTCTACGTTTGGCTTCTTCGTAATTTGCTTTATGGTATTCCGGCACTTCCTCGTATTCCCAGTCGCTGGAGGAAGAAGAATTTTGTACGAAGATTGAGTATTCAATTGCTGTGTGAAACACTTCATTTTTCCATAAAGGTGCTAATGATGTATCCACACAGAAGTCTTCAGTACAATTTGTAAATAAAAGGTCTAAATATGAGTTTTGTTGATTTTTTACATGGTTTATTTGATTAAGACCAAAATAAGATATTTTGTCGAATAATAATTGTAATGTTTCGTCTTCACCTACGACCGGGAGTAAAAATGATTCATTTTCAATGTCTGTAATAAAGTCTGCGTTTCGTTGATTGAAGTCGCCATAAATATGCAGTTTTACTTCTGGTTCCATATTTGACATTATAGTTTCAACAATTTGAAAAAATAGTTCAAAAGACTGCTTGTGGGCATGTTTAGGTGGAAAATACACAGAAGAAAAAATGTGTATTTCACCGGCAATAAGTGCTTTGACCCAGACATTTTCAAATTCCTTGTGCTTATTTGTTATGATTTCTTCAGAAGTAAAGTCAGCATTGATGGCAATGAGCACTCCACCACCAGACTTTTTATTACAGAGTTGAAAATTCCTGTCGTGCCGGAATACATTAAAATTGTTTCCAAAAATTTCTTCGCTTCTGACGCTTTCGTCCCAGCTTGTTTCAGTTCCAAGAATTATTTGAAAAGAAGAAGATAGAATGTTCTGGTGGATTTCTTTCATTTTAGCTGGGCTTTTCATGCGATTGAAATTTTGGCAATACACCAAAATTTCAGTCGCATTCTGTTGAGGAAGTGAAGAGATTTTTGGAGGGTCAGTATTACTTACATTAGTAGGGTCTACCTCATGTAGAGTGTCGTCATTCAATAATAATAATTCCCTTGCATGGGAATAGTCGTCGTTACTTCCTTTAGTTGAGTGCGTCAGTGCCGTTGAAAATTCGGAGGACTGTAAAATTTGCGAGCGGCCTCCCTAGTTTGCTGCAGTCGTTGTGTGCGTTCACTAAGTAGGAACGCGCGGTGTGAATTCAGGTCTGCCAAAGCGTCGGTGCGTGGAATTCCGAGTTCTTCGTGAACGTCCAGGAAAATTTCGCGTAAAAGGGCTGTTTCCGTTGGTAGTCCTTCTGCTGCCAGCATTAAAGTTGCACTAGTTTTAGTGATTCCGCGAATGCATACTGAAGGTGGCTGGTCGTGCAAGTATGAAAGATAAGTCCGCACAATGTCCATAATTTTGGGGTCCCGCAGCCGTGCCTTCAAAAAGCGTCGGTCGCCAATTGCAGACTGTTCCGTGAGTCTGACTATAGGCGGACGCATTGGGTCCAGGATTGGAGGGTGTTCATGTCCGGTTGGCCTTTCGGCGCGATAAGGGTGAATAGTTTCCCCTTTTTCGAAGTTAATGAATTTTAGTCCATTGTCTGTGCTTGGTGGACGAGAAAATTGTATACGTGCAGCAGCCAAAAGCTCTTTGTCCAGAGGTAATGCCGTATGTGCATGTGTGGAGTTAATAAGTGTCGACGTTCTTATTCCATTGCTATGATTGTTGGTATTGCTGTTGTTGTTGTTGTTGTTGTTGTTGTTGTTGTTGTTTTTGTTGTTGTTGTTGTTGTTGTTGTTGTTGTTGGTGGTGTTATTATTGCTGTTGTTGTTATTGTTGTAGTTGTCTGTTTTGTTCTTGTTGTTGTACTGATATGAATTTTCCTGGTGATGTTCCTTTCGTTGCTTTCGCCTACGTCTGGCTTTTTCCTTTTCTTTTTCCTGAAGGCGACCAGTACTAAGATCTATTGTGATATACTCCCCGTTTTAATATTGCTTTAACAGCATGTCGTAACACCATTTTATGAAGCGACCGACATAGACTGACCGAAAGCATTTTCCCAGTCAGGTATTACATTTCGAATGAATTGCACTACTTGGCTGGGAACTGAATTCCAAATATCAAAGGGTTCTGTCAGCTCCTTATCCAGAAAAATACGCCTCTTATTGAAGATTGATATACAAGAGCATAGCAGGTGTTCAGAGTCTTCTTTTTCTATGTCACTTAATCGACACATGTCATGTTGAAGTTTTCCTATTAGCTTCAAGTGATATTTACATGGACAGTGCCCTGTTATTAAACCAGTGTACTGAGATCTTTCATTGATAGTTGAAGAATTTTGCTAGTCATTGTAATGCTCGGGCTACAAAATGGTGAGTGACAATCTGGAAGGAGCGATATACCTAGCTCCGGTCCTCACAAGTTCCTACCTCACGCCTCCACGAGTCATATGATCACAAAAGACTGCCAGCTGAAACATGGACACAGCTGGTTGGCGTAGCCTGGGCAATGTTGTCAATCCGACAATAGCAGAGTGAGGAGGTGCGACGCGAACACTGGCGCGGTAACCATAGCACGGTGATAGAGGAAATGCTTCGCCAACCCGAGCGTCTGTTCACCATGGAGGTGCGGCTCAAACAGCGTCTGACTGGCATCCAGCGGCTGAATAAGAAATGCTCTTCCCCGGAAGCTACACCTAAGATGGCAGCCCCATCACGGCGGATAGGAGACCTTAGGCCAACTATCTACTGTCTCTGAAACCTTTACAATTGTTACAGAAACCAACAGAGAAAGACATCGAACTGATATAACGGCAACGACTTTTAGCGCAAAACAACGGACACGAATTGGATCATGGAATGAATCGACGTTAGCCCAGCAGGGTAAACTGGCACAACTCGCCAACGAGGCGCGACGCATGAAGCTAGAAATCCTGGGACTGAGTGAAGTTCGTTGGCCAAACTTTGGAGAACACAAACTGCCGTCGGGACAGGTA